CAATTGAGGTGTCTCATAATTTCCTCTTCTGTTCCATTTCAAAGAGAAATTATCAAACTTCATGGCTTAAAATTAACATAGAATATTCTGCGAAAAGAAAAGAAAAATCAAGGCAGCTAGGAATTACGCTAGCCAGTTTACTGAGGAAAAAATAAAATATGACAGGAAATCTGTAACGTCGAAAATGGAGGTACGTGGTTTCGTACACTGGCCATTGATATGCCCGATAATTAGGACCAAAAGTTGGGAACAGTATCACTTGCACTTGCACTCTAATTTATCGCGGCTATCACCGAGTCGCGGCAAGATGGCACCAAAGGTTTCGAAACGTGTCCTCGTGAAATATTAGAGTGATAATTTGTCTTCATTTTTATTCATAAATTGTGCTGCACCATATAAGTGTACATGAAAGTAATAATATGCTCGTTGAGGAAGCATCAGAAATCGAAGAAAGAGAAGCAGAGAAGAAGAACAAGTAATTAGGAAGATAAAGAGGGAAAAAGTAAGACGAAGAGGGCATAAGAAAGAGAGTTAAAGAGGAATTGAAGAGGGAAAAAGAAGAAAAAAGGGATGAAGAGGAGGTGAAGAAGTAACGAAAGAGAAAAAAGAAGATGAAGAAGGAAAATGACACGAGAGGCGTACGAGAAATAGGAAGGAAGAAGAAGGGATGAGGAAGAATAATTAAGTGAAGGAAATGACAAAGGAAGGAGGTAAGAAGAATAATGAAAACCACTGGAAAAAAAGAATCTTAAATTTGCCACCAAGAAGTATTTCTTCTTAAATCAAGAATTTTGCTAGTTAATATAAGCAACTTTTTTGCTCAACCCAAGCATTATTTTTCTTGAATCGAGAAAAAGTCGGCTTAAAGCAAGATAAAGAAAATTCTTGGCGGCAAATTCAAGAATTATCATGCTTGATCCAAGCTACTTTTTTTTCACTGAAGAGAACAAAAAAAAGAGGGAGAATGAGAAGAAAGAGAAAAGGAAGACAAATCATTTTTTGAATATTCTCTCTCCTCCACTTCCTCTTTCTTCCTCTCTTCTATCTTTTTCTTTCTCTCCTTTCCCTTTTGCCTCATCTTCGTTTCCCAATTCGGAGGAATAGAGACTCGAGTCTGTCAATGCACGGTTACGCGACTTTACCATTGCTCTCTCCTAGGATTTTATTGGTGTCTGGAATGCAGGGACAGGTAATATTAAAGTTCACCTTTTAATCCAATAGCCGAAGCTGCGAGTAGAGTCTCTCCAACACTCAATTAGTATTAGTTCAGCCGTCCGAAGTATGATAGGCAGCGTTGCTAAGTTGCACTTGAGACCCTACATTTCCTCCGAAAGAAATATAATGCCCAAATAAGGATGCTAGTGCGGCAACAAGGTGTTAGTTCATCTAAGTGACATTTAACGGCACTAGCGGGGCTGATGACTCGGGTAACGATACTCAATGCTGTTCATTGTCAATGTCTTATGGGCTCATTGTTGAAGTTGTTTATTTACGGCCGGAAAGTAAGGCGCGGATGAAAGGAAATGAATGGTGACCTGACTTTATTTTTAGCTCCTAGGCGGCCGCCGTTAAAAATTATCACTTGAGGGTTACTGGGACTCTAGAGCTGAAAATCATTTTTGGAAAAGATCAGAGAATACAAAATGCATCGGTGGAAATACACAGACAGGGCTGCCATTTTATTTGGGGACTCTAAAATTGAAAACACGGCAACACTGCTGATATATTTGCTCCCTATCTTTGCATGGAGAAGTTGTCTTGATGTAGACGTGGACTCTCAGGATAGCGTGGGATATTCCCTCCATTTTGGCCTCAACTTGAGAGCTTTTTTTGAGCTTGGGAGTTGATTTCAGAGAAAACCAGTGGCACCATCGTGTTTCTCGCGAACTTTTACACAAGAATCAATAGTCAAATCGCAAATTCCTCACACATGCAACATCTCCATTCTACTGGTAGTGCGATCAAAACTCTTGTTTAACGATTTATAAAGAAACATAACGGTGTGATCTCCGGTAAAATGAGAACTAAAAAGAGAATGAAACTTAGGGGCCGGATTCGGAGCGAATTAAGGGCCGGGCCTCCTGGTCAAAAAATGAACTATTTTCATTTTTATTTGCATATATTTTAAGTTATTTATTGATACCAAGTCACTTTTACCAAGCTTTCGATTTCACCTTTCCGGCAGCCTCAAATTTTTTTGTTTATTGCGGCAGTTACAGTCACGTTCTATAGCTAATCATAATAAGTATTGTGAACGTTTCTGCACGTGTCTCGGACGACTATCCGGAATCATTATTTATTGCCCTTCCCTATCGAAATGTATAATTATACGTGTCATTGGAATGGTTCATCATTTATACTCGTAAAAGATAATAGATATTCATCTAGATGAGGCTATTTGCACATTTATACTTAATCGTCTTTGACTTAATTTTTCGCCTTTATACCTAAACTTAGGGTTTTACTTTCATTTTGAAATGTGATTGTTAATAGACCCCTTCGTGTCTGTACGGTGTTAAATATCGTTATATAAAGTAAAATATTTGCACCCACACCGCGACGATGAAAAGCATACAATTACGCTTAATTATATTAGAATAAAACAAACCAACGTATTTCCTTCAAATTCTAGGTAAGTATTTTTGGACGAATGAAACGAATTTACTGCAAATTCTCGCGATAAAACGGTTGGTTAATTTTCTGCTTAAAAAATAAAATATAAAAGGGAATTCGCGAAAATGCGATCGAAGGTACGCGTTATCAAAATGTAGCCTTCGATATTTAATTATTTTGATCATTGTAAATATTATCATGTCGATGAATTTCGGTAAACAGAAGAAAAATTGCCACGAGAAAATGTTAACTAAGTAGAGTGAAAAAATTGCAAAGTTTCTCGATAATCAATCATTTACGCCACTCCACTGAAGTGCTTGGAAACATTCACCATATTTAGATCGATCAACCAATTTGTACAATGAAATAGATAGATATTAAAAGTCTGCATGCCTATTTTCAGATGATTCCTTGCTTGCAAGCATTCTTAAAAGTTTGGGGGTTTATAAAACAAATGAACACGGGAGGTTTAAAACCCTACCGATTTAGTTAACACCTTCAAAATAGGAATTAGCCGACTTGGAGGTCGGTTAAATGTTAAAGGTGGAATAGATTTATAGTCGAAGAATTCTCATTCATCATAGAAACGATCGATTTTGACAGTCGAAATTAGGGTTTCCTACCATAGGAGCGTCGATGGGTTCTTGTTTACTTTCGGCTGGCAGAATTGGATTAGATCCGCGAAATCTAATTTGATTCTGATTTATTTCTTCATTCGTGACCGGCGAGGAGAAAGAGAATACATTATTTAAAAACTATGACCTTTTTTCTAGCTGCAGCTTTCCAAATAATTAATATGATGATGAATTATGACACGTCACTTTGACAGCTCAGGACGAAAATGGAGCCAAATAATTTAGGAGACAAGGGGCCGCTGTTTCTGATACGTTCGGTGGAATTTTCCCCAAGAGTTATTAATGTCAATCGATGTGCGTTTGATACCTTCCTCTGAATTAAATTTCACTTTTTAGCTATCTAAGGTGTCAACGCGAAATGGACTTTAACTCTACAGAGAATGTTTTATACCATGGTTTTTGTAAAATGGATCTAACTGAAATGAAAAATCAGCATTTGAGTTTTGACAGAAGACTCTTTCTAGTTGTGAATTAGTGTTCAACTAACCATTAGACAAGTGCACAAGGTGCAAATTTGAGCATTATGATGCATGGTTTCTCATCAAAATATCGTATAGAACACTACATTGAGAGAAATCGCAACACAAAAGTTTGGTTGGTACGAGAAGTAAAATACAAAATAGCCCTAGCCTTCTCTATTTGAAGAATATTTGTTGAAAAGTCCAAGCGATGATGTCGGTTTGGTCTCCTCCCAAAGAATAAAGTAGGAGCGGTGATTTTGAAACACCACAACCAAGTTACGAATTGGACTGCATTTTGCAATTTGGAACTACAAATTCTGGCTCATCTGAAAAAAACACTTATGTGCATATGGGAACTAATGGCACATACGTTGTTTTTAAACCGGGTCAGATTTTATAGTTCCTAATTGCAAAATGTAGTCCAATTATTCCAGTTTCAACGTCGATGTGCCAGAATGCTTTTTGTACTTTGTCTAGTGGTACATTTGGATTGCATTTTGCAAAAAGGAGCCAGGAGCATTGCAATGTTGCTAAAATTGTGCATCTTCTTTTATCTTGGAAGAAAAACGTGATTATCCATTAGCAGTTCCTATTTTACTCGCTAAAAACTGTAGATTTAATACAAAAATTATCAAGTAAATTTCATATTTTTTCATGGTTTCAGTAATTTTATTGCATAGGCTGAAGTTGCACAATCTTAGCACCATTGCAATGCTTCTGGTTCCTTTTTGCAAAATGCAATCCATTTATTTTTGCACCAAAAGAGGTCATAGAGGTCCTCCGCCTCCCGGGCGGAGGAACGTAACTCCATTCCAAGTTTGCCAAATTGACTCAAATATTTGATTTATTTTAGAAAAAATGTGCATGTGCCTTTTTCCCAACATTTTTCTGATTTTTGCATGAAATCTGAGGAAAAATCAGAAACTTTTCAGTTAGGAATGCCCAATATTCTTCTTGTTAATGCTAAATTTGCGAAGGAAAATTTGGCAGCGTTGGAATGTAGTTACGATCTTTTGCGAGGGAAACGGCGATACGTAGCGTTGCATCGCACAGTTTTGAGGTTAATCCTCCGATAAAATCAGGGATGAGACACCGCTATTTGCGATATTCTACAGGAGTAAGAGATTGCAACCTGATTGCATCGCGGTAAGACCCAGGCGCGAGGCGTTAAGCGCCTCTGACGTTATGTGCTACGCGTTACCCTCCTGATTTTACATCATTAAGATCGGGTGTCCGATATTTCTGTTTCACTTCAATAGCGACTAATGGTTTACTTTTGTGCGTGTTTCAGGAGTACTTTTAACCGAAGCAGCCGAGCCTTACTATGGAAAATTCATCGGGTCGTTGAGGACGCAACACCATGGCGTCACCGGTGACGTCTATGCTGTCGACTCACGTAACCTACACATCCGCAACTTCAATTACGATGGTGAAGGACCAGGTATATTCGTTTCTTATCAATTATTTCCATTGCCCCCCCCCCCTTCCTTACAATCCGCCTTTTGCTACAGCATTATGAACGGGAACAGAATGATCAAATAGCTCTGAAGAGATCGCAAAATTTAGATAATAAAAGGAGCCAAAAAAGAAGAAAGTCTTCAGAATAGTGGAGATCAGAACTCTTTCCACGTCCCTTTGAACGTAATTTTTGCGCTTTTTTGTATTTTTTCTGAGTGAAGGGTCACGGGCAGTGGTTGAAGTATAGAGCAACATTGAATGAAGGAGGGAAATTTCCTTAAGTGGTTGTACCTGCGCTTATGACCAGCGACGCTATTTTTGGCGCGTATACGTAGTATACCGCCTTTGCGATCGTTTCGACCCCCCCCCCTCGATACAATNAAAAGCGCTAGTGCTGAAAAATTAAAAAAAAAAAAAAAAAAACGTGGCGGCGAGGCATGAATGATCGATTATCGATACTTCCCCATTTGAAGCTAAGGTAAAGAATCTATTATTAAGATGTTCGTTGCGAACACCCTGTTTCTCGATCCTTTTCTATAGCGTTAAATGGGAAATGGGAGATCAATCGAGATATCGCTAACCACGCCACACCACTGGCTCCGCGTCTATCATTAACTTCAAGATGAGGTGCTGCGTTTCCACTATGGTGTGCGGTAATTATATTTTTGCGGGCTGATTGTTGAAATTGGTAGACAAAGCTATAGACAAAGAAGACAAAAATGATATTGAGAGATCCTACTGGTGTAAGAGGGTGATTGCAATGAACAGAGGAGATGGATAATAGACTAACTGACGACTACCCAAAAGAGACCCTGTAATTAGTCCATCATCCATTCCTTTTGTCTATAAGAGCCACCCGTTTCAACCAATAGGATCGCTTTATACTCCCTATGCCTTATTTTTATCTAGCTTTGTCTATCAATTTCAACGATCAACCCGCTCTTTCGAGTAGACATGCAAACAGAGCTCCAGTAAAATAATAAAATTTGTTTATTTTTAGGGAAATTAATATGACAGGAGGGGAGAGGAAAGGGCACAATTAAATCATTGAAAGTAAATACGTTCTGTGACTGTACATTGTGTTCTCATTCCAAACGAGAAGCACTAATACAAATTGTTTTGGTTCTGTTTCTGTTTGTTTCACGAAGCGGCTTATTTTTACGCTGGTAACTCCAAGGCACCAAGCAGCTCTGGCTTCCAACTGAGGGACGAAAAAGGAAAGTGAGTATAAATGTTACCCGAATATGAAATTATTAATTTTATCAATAAAAATACCTCACTTAACAGTAAAACAAAATTGATGTATAATACTTTCATTTGAGTACCACGAACCTGTCCACGAAGAAAATGACTTATTGACGGCAAAAATCCAAAATGGACCACTAGATAAGGTACGAATTTCAGCATTCTGATACATGTTTCTTAACCAAAATTTTACGTAAAACACGATGCACACAACGAAAATTACCGAAATTAACTCCTTACGAAGATATTTAATGATTCTTAATGCGTGAATTCAAACCACCCGCTCATGAAAACACAATGCTCTACGTGATTCACATCGCGCGCTAAACGTTATCATGACAGTCTCTGCGATATAAAAATCTGGCAACCTTAATCTTGACGCTTTGGCTCAGTTATAGCAAATTGCTAATAGTTTGAACAACACATGATGGGAAATGAACATTGCTCGATTGAGAAGCTTGCTGAAACCGTTGTAGTGGGCGATTTGACTCACGTAGAGCTTTGAGTTTCTTGTAAGCGGGCAGTTCAAATTCCTCGTAACCAATGTGAAATAAAAACGTTAATATCTTCGTTAGGAGTTGGTTTCCGTAATTTTCGTTGTGTGAATCGTTTTCCACGTGAAATTCTGGTTAAGAAACATGTATCAGATCGCTTAAATTCGTACCTTGTCTATAGTGGTCCATTTGAGGGATTAAATCCACTACTTTGTAGCGAGTTTCATATCTGGCGATTTAAAGTTTACAGGAATTGCTATTCAAAAGATTAATTTGCCGATGGGTTGAAGTAATTCAATTAGAATGCATTTTCACACCCTTTACACAGAGAGAAATTTTAACACAAATGTTTGATTGATGTGGGAACTAGAACACAAAATAACTCTAGGCCTCGGTTGACAATTTCAAGAGGAAATGCCAGCTAGTGTTCTTGAAGAAAGTTAATAAAAAAACGAGTGGTGAGTACCAACGTCGCAATCGGACAAACGCATTTCCCCAGTATCTCCATTGTTTTCTGCGCTAAATTCACCGCAAAATCAACACTGAAAAAAAAATATGGTAACTGCTACTATAAGTCAACTTGATTTTTTACACAGTGATACTATTAAGTGAAAATGACCAAAATTCTAGTTCTATTCACTATAGAGCTCAGGTAATTCTTACCACAATATGGTAAATGCTACCAGGGCCGGATTTACCTACTTGCCGCCCAAGGGCCGCCTGTATTTTGCCGCCCCCTTCTCATTCGTATTGAAACATCAATAAAAACCATCAAGTGAACGTGCCAGCGGAGAAGGGGTGCATAAGACGCATTTACTCGTGTTGAACACATTTTTTGGGGATGCCCTGTCAACACTACTAGCAAAAATTAAGTTTTGTAAACCTATCTTTGTGCGGACAAGGCCCGGGACAAGGCCATAAGAAATGAACGAAAAAATTATGAAAGAACAAAAATGAGTGTGGTTTCATGATTTTAACTTCCGCCGCCGCGCCGCGCAGACCGCACCGTGCTTGGCGTAATGCGTGAAGTATTCACGCAGTCTTGTAGGCGCCATGCGTTTCACGCTGACCGCACTGTGTTTGGCGCAATGCGTGAAGTATTCATGCATTCTTGTAGGCGCTATCCGTTTCACGCTGACCACAATAACCGCACTGTGTTTGATGCAATGCGTGAAGTATTCATGCAGTCTCGTAGGCGCTAATATGTGTTACATGCCGACCGCCACGCCGATGGCTTCTCCTTTTCATCTCAAGTCCTCGTCATCATTGCTCTCTGCGCCGCGCCGCTCCAAGCCAAATTGCGTGTTTGGTTTCTCTCTTAAATCTACTAATTAAAGGTGCTGTCTCTACTATCACTGAAATACGACAAAATTAAAAATTACTACACTCTCAAGAAATGAGAGATGTGGTCGCCTTTTCTCGTTTGTATTTTTTTTTCCTGAATCCGATATTTTTTTATACCTACATTTGAAAAATTGCAAAATTTGCCGCCCTCTAGATTTGCCGCCATGCGCCGCGGCCCATGTGGCCACCCCCTTAATCCGGCCCTGAATGCTACCATAAAGTCTAGTGTTAAATGTCATACCCGGATTACTGTGTCATAGTATGGTAAAATGTACCATATTTTTTTTCAGTGAACACAAAATTTGTGTTGGTTTGTGTTTAACTTCCTATGTTGACCAAAAGCAACGCAAGAACACAAATATTTTTATCAGCGTATTGAATACTCACGAGACGACCGAAACTTATCCGCTATGTTGGAAAAAATTTTCTTCGGGGCACTTAAATTCCATATTTTTGACCCAATGTGGCAGAAGTACTATTTTATGTGGTACTGAGATCACTTTTTGTACGGACTGCTACATACCATGATTTATAATAAATTAAATGGCTGGAGATTCATGATGGGTCGCTTCTTTTGTTTTACTTATCTAGTGCGTCTCGACTGCGTGAAGGTGGGGTGTCAAAATTCAAAACACTAGGCTATAACTAATGGTTGAAATTCAAGTAATAAAACTTTCCGGGACTGCAAATAATTTTAGCACGCATGAATAACTGACGCCGGTTTTTTTTTCACATTACGTTAGTGGTTATTAACGCTTCTGACCAATGATTATCTTCATCTTCAGACGCGGTGATGTACGGAGACACTTTTTTGCACGATGACAAATGGACGTATTTCTGCCAAACGGAACTAGGTGCATTGTGACGTGAGCCTTGTTATCCGTATATTCTCATGGGTCTCAGGGCTCATGTCTTAATGCACATAGTTCCGTTTGGCAGAAATACGTCCAAATAGATTCATCCCTCGGAGGTACTCATTGCAATAAATTTCCCAGGTATTATCTGGGTTTAAAAATATAACGGATCGCACAGACTACAAAAATATTCGCAAGAAATACGAGCTCGCAGAGTACATCTGAACAAGTGATCCGATTTCATTGCAGCGTAAATACTGCACTCGGCTCCGAGTACTATCGTCCGTTGAATCTGGAACAAGTGAATTCTTCAAATGATTTCAGTGACTTAAACGACAGACGTGAAAAACAACGGCGCACAGTGGATCGAGACAATGGACCACTAGACCAGGTACGAATTTAAGCAATCTGATACACGTTTCTTATCCACAATTTTACGTAAAACACGGTGCGCACAAACAAAATTACCGAAATCAACTCCTTACGAAGATATTTAATGATTCTCGATGCGTGAATTCAAACCACCCGCTCATGAAAACTCAATGCTCTACGTGATTCACATCGCTCGTAAACGTTGTAATGAACGTCTCTGCGATAAAAAAATCTGGCAACCTCAATCTTGACACTTTGGCTCAGCTCTAGCAAATCACTTATAGTTTGAAAAACACATGGTGGGCAATGAACATTGCTCGATTGAGAAGATCGCTGAAACCGTTGTAGTGCGCGATTTTACTCACGTTGGGCTTTGAGTTTCTTGTGAGCGGGCAGTTCAAATTCCTTGTAACCAATGTGAAATAAAAATGTTAATAGCTTCGTTAGGAGTTGGTTTCAGTAATTTTCGTTGCGCGAATCATGTTCTACGTGAAATTCTGGTTAAGAAACATATATCAGAATGCTTAAATTCGTACCTTGTCTGATGGTCCATTAGAGAAGTCGGACATGAAATTTTTTACTAAAACTGCAAATTTTCATGTTTTTTCGTTACATTTTACATTTCAAGTGTTGCCTCCGGAAGCCAACTTTACGAGGAAACCCATGAAGCAACTTTTGGAAGCCCACAGTCTCGTATAAACGGAGTTATGAGCGATTAAAGTTTTAAATTTAGTCCGACTGCTCCAATTGATTCGTTCCACTGTGTGGTGGTGTAGAAGTGAGAGGCAGAGCGGCCCATAAGAATGCTCATTTTATGGGCTCTGTTGAGTCGTTAATTTGATTGTTTGTCAGATGCGACTTTTTCCCCGTTTCCCACGTTGGGATCTGCTATTTCAAAACGGAACCAACTCCACGTGCATAAAATGTAACAATTCGTCAGTGTGATTTTTTTCACCCTCTCGCAAAAAGATAAGCCGGTTGTATTCTTTTTTTCAAGCAGGTCAATTACACGTGTCATTAATAGGTCTGTTTCACAAGGTACACATCCAACTGAGTGAATAATTTATAAACAATATCGCAGTAAGATCTTGTTTAATGTAACACATTTATCATCATCATAAATGAATGGAATACAAATGGTGATAGAGTGAAAAATAGTTCTGCTTGAAAAAGCCGATTCACGCGTCCTCCCGACATTCTTTTCTCTCTCAACATGGGAGGGAAAGTAATTAGACGGATCATAAACTGAAAAGAAACTATTAGGCCGGGGAAAAAAAGTTGATATATTCATTTAGGTAGAACAGACTGACAAATGAATGGCTTTTGACAAAAGAAATCTTTCGGAACTCCTGAGTCCTAAGAGTTGCATGCTCATATACGATTAAGGATCACGCCAAATTCTTAATAGTCTGTTTCTTCAAAACTTCGTCTAAATTATTCCGCTAATCATATTGGGGGTATTCATTGATATTCAAAATTATTCAGGCTTTATTCTTTTTCCTTGTGTTGACTGCCACTTGACACAATCGAGCGTTCCTCATATGAAATTTATATCTACGAGTCATTCATTTTGTTCTATCGTAGTTTTTGATCAGTAGCGTGGCGTGCTTTCCATTAGATCGATCGATCTGCCATTACCACCTATGGAAAAGGATCGATAGACAGGGCACCCGTAAGCACCTTAATAATCGATTATTTACCATAGCTTCAAATAGAGAAATATCGATAATCGAATGTTCACGCCTCGCCACTGTTTTTGATAGGGAGAGGACGCCAATTCAATACGTTCCGACCGTCTATACGCAAGTTGATGATTTTGTTTTTTTCCACTTCCGTATAAAAGAAGGGCGCTTCAATGACGCTGTAACGTATAAAAGAAATTGCAAATTAAACTTAAAATAACAAAAATGGCGAAGGTCTCTCTTCGTTCTGCAAAATCGTCAGTTTGGAGATAGATGATATCGTTCGTTACCCATCGATGTGAAGAAGTACTTGAGGTTACAGTTTCTAGAAAATGACTGACTTTTTTATTATTTGTATTGCAGGTCAGTCCCGTTGAGGAAATACCGTAATGAGCATGTTACGGTGACACTGCCTGACGGCAAAACCCTCAACAACATCAAATGGTTCTCCGTCTGGTGCGACGAGTTTGCTGTAAGTATCAGTAAAATCTACTAGCTACTAGAAATTTGGCATAGCGTCCAAATGTTTATGCGGCGTTTTTCCTCGTCATTAAACTCACGGACCATTCGGGAAAAACGTAAAATTAATGTTTTTCCTTTTATCTCAAAATGATATCCTACGCATTTGGAGAAGGAACATAATTTAAAAAATGGATAAAAATAGAAATACCAATATGGAAAAACCAAACGGTCCATAAGTTACCAAGCGCAAGCATTAAAGTTGGTAATCTTCAAAAGCATATCCCTCATAGACATAGTACTTTCCCCTTTGCAGAGCAATTGAAGAGCCTCATAAAATTTCAACAATAAAGACCGCGAATGAATATTTGCAAAAATGAAAGTCAAGTTCCGGAATTTTTAAGTTTATCTATGAATATGTAATTAACGATTCGTGCACCAGACATTGGCATTGTAAATTATTTCTAAGCGCATCCTGCAGCGTTTACGATACGATCCGTCGCACGGTGGATCTCGAGTCAATCAGAAAGATCGGACGTTAAATTTTTGATGAAAACTGCAAATTTTTATGTTTATTTCGTCTCATTTTAAATTTTAAGGGGTACTTTAGGAAGAAAATTGCATGAGAAAACTAATGGAACAATTTTTAAAACCTCAAAGTTTTGCAAGAACGGAGTTACGAGCAATTAAAGTTTCCACACTGAAAAAATATTCTCGGCGTTTTTACCAAGGTCCGTTGATAATTTTACCATCTCACTTTTTTTACCAATTATTGGTAATTTTACCAAGACAGACTGGTAAGCTTACCTAAAAACCGGTAATTTTACTGTTTTTACTTTCTCGCTCCCATAGGGTAGAGAGGAAGTATTGTCATCCTCCAAAAAAAAAAAAAAAAAAAAAAAGTTGAAATTTCATCANGAATAAAAATTTCATAACTATTATCCTGTGATCAAAATTCCAATCAAACTTTATGATTTTGTAAAATTGGCAGTATTTTTCTAAATATTCCAGTAAAAGTATCTATGCCGGCGCGAAGCGCCGGCTCGAGCGAGAAAGTCCCGTGCGGTCCCCGCACCAATCCGCTAAGCGGATGGGGGGGCGAAGCCCCCCAAATGCCGGCGCGTAGCGCCGGTACGCGGCGCGAAGCGCCGCGCATAAATTGGCCGGAGGCCAATTTTTTTTTCAGGTAAGAATGCCACTTTTATTGGTAATCAATTCCCGGTAACTTTGCCATTTAATCTCGGTAATTCTACCACAGTCGATAAAAAATATTGGCGTTTTTACCGGGGTCCAGTAAAATTACCGAGAAAGTCAATAATTTTACCAAGATTTCTCGGTCAAATTACCAATGCCATAAATGGTAATTTTACCAAGAAAAAAGTAGGATCAAATTGAACCCTGAATTCTTGGTAATTTTACCGTTTTCTTAGTAAATACACCGATATTTTTTTTTCAGTGCAAACTTTGTCCGACCTCTCCTATTGATTCGATCCACCGTGCGTCGGGTCCTCATCCGAGCAGGGCCCGCGCCAAAATCACCGAAAACAAAGCCAAGAAATTCGAGATAATCGAAGGCACCATCGTGGTTTCGCCCGCTAACGCAACGCCGTATCTACATCGTAAGATGAGCCCTGCTCTGCATTTAACTCTGTACTACCCGGGGCTCACGTGAAAATTAACTTGCGTCGGATGTGCGACATATGCCAGTGCATCGCGCGAGGCGGAGTTGACCCATTGGACGTATTTCTGCGAGCGGAACTATGTGCATTAGGTCATGAGCCCTGAGATCTATGAGAATGTATGCATAGCAGGGCTCACGTCATAATGCACATAGTTCGTTTTGCAGAAATACGAGACTTTCACTCTCGGGAGCATTCCCAGATCCGCGGAGAAGATCGAAGTGCATCCATTCGCCTATTGTGACTTCAATCGCGGTATTGAAACTGCCAACTTATGAGCATCTCCCCGAGATCGTATCAGCTTGAGAATAGGAACGCGCGCTCGCCGCACGTAGTGTGAGGGCATGCGGGAGTAATTTCAGTTTTTGTGACGATCAGAGTCCCTCTAAACTGAGAGTAGAGAGGCTTCTTAAGTCATTTGTGGTTTATACACTGAAAAAAAAATCTCGGTGTATTTACTAAGAAAAGGGTAAAATTACCAAGAATTCAGGGTTCTATTTGATCCCAGTTTTTTCTTGGTAAAATTACCATTTATGAAATTAGTAATTTTACCGAGAAATCTCGTTAAAATTATTGATCTTTCTCGGTAATTTTACTGGACTTTGGTAAAAACGCCAATATTTTTTATCGACTGTGGTAGAATTACCGAGATAAAATGGCAAAGTTACCGGGAATTGATTACCGATAAAAGCGGTATTCTTACCTGAAAAAACCGGTAAAAATACCGGTTTTTAGGTAAGCTTACCAGTCTGTCTTGGTAAAATTACCAATAATTGGTAAAAAAAGTGAGATGGTAAAGGTACTAACGGACCTTTGTAAAAACGCCGAGCATTTTTTTTTTCAGTGTGGAGAGGAGTTATAAGTCATTTGTGGTTTATACAGTATTTTTCGTTCGATCAAATTTTACATATCCTCAGGGGTATCTCAAGATATAGTTTATTTTAAAATCTGATTATTATTTCATCAGCAAAGCAATGTTTTGCGACTCCCAGAGTGATTCAATCCGGCAGGCCTGCACCCTGATAGTGTCATTCCAACATGTATCCAAAACTTTAAAAATAAGTTTCTCAAAACAACGGGGTTTAATTATAGGGTCTCTTCTCTTGGGATCAATACTGGTCAAGAATTTTTCACAGTAGACTCTGGATTATCCGGATTAATTGGTGCCGGGCCCGATCCGGATGAAAAAGAAATCCGGATAATAATAGTAAACACAAACACCACCAACCAACACCACAGTATTCTTATTATGTATACATCATGTACATACCAACACGAATTTAAAAGTTTAACGCCAAACTGAACGACTCAATGGTGATTGTGAATGGTAGCCGACAACGATAAATTACAATACAACGATTAAAGCGCGCAATGCGTGAAGTATTCATGCAGTCTTGTAGCCGCTAATGTGCGTTTTAGGCTAACTAACCGCTTGCACTGCGTTTGGCGTAATGCGAGAAGTATTAATGCAATCTAGTAGGCGCTAATGCGTTCCACGCCGACTTCACTGTTTGGCGCAATGCGTGAAGTATTCCTTCAGGCTTGCAGGCGCCAATATGCCTTGCGACCGCTTACGGTCACGCTCACTTATCAGAATGCGTACGTAGTTACATGGTTGCAAAATCGATCCGGATAATCCAGAGTCCGGATAATACGAAGCCGGATAATCCAGAGTTTACTGTATTTGCTTTTTTCCCCATATTTTTTTTCCAAACTACAGACGAGAAGGATTTCTCTAATTATTGTTCAAGAAAAAATGAAATAAGCCTGAAGTGCACTTTGGGTGAAGTTTTTCCATTTTCCCCCCAAAAACTCTAGAAAATTTCAAAATTTTCAAAAACATTGCCCACTACAGCCAAAAGTAAATCAAGGGATCAAAGCCAAAGTTTTAGGAAATCTATCCAGGAAAACTTGTTAAAAGTGTGACTGACTGAACATTAGTATAACTTTTAGATTGTGAAAATAGGGACTCATGACTCCTCTTAAGACATGTGGGATTCATGCCTGATAGGCCCTCATAATATCACAGAGAATACACTCTTGACGGTTACAGAAATTACAACCTGGAATGGACCAGGAATAACCGGAAACAGAGAGGAAATGGAGAAGAGACATTTGTGACACGGACAAATGTCACTTTTTGGTTCAATGGGAGTCCCATGCTGAAAATGCAGCGACAGGAAACCCCCTCCTTTTAAACGGCATACCTATCATTTCAAAGAAGCGTCCTTTCGTGTTGAAGAGATTTCTAGTTGAAAGAACGAGAATTACTGTCTTGGTAAATATAACAAGAACTTATCTCTCATTGTCGGTGAGGTTGACCAAAGATTAATTAGAAAACTTACAAACTGTGCAGCATTTCTGTTCTTAAGTCACAGTGCCGATTCTTAAAAGTTGGCAATCTTGGTTCCCTCTTTCATTCCATTTGTTCCTTGCCGCACCCCCAATATCCCAGTCCATTCCAGTTTGTAATCTTTGCAATTGGTGAAACTGTATAATCTCTATTCCCGTTTGTGACACTGTGAAGGCGTGAACTATGGGGACCAATCAGAAACGAATTCGCATTTTCTTTCCTCTCAGTAAAAAGGGATTCTGGCACGACAGCGTTGATCACCTAAACGGAAGTTTCGAACTCGAATAAAATGGCAGCTCGGAGGTTCGGGTGCAAAAGTGGTACCGAATCTCTAAATAAAATTCGCTTTTAATATGGATGAATACAGCCCAAGTAGATCGCACATCCGTGGAGATGCTTGTCGATAGTCGACTAGACGAAGCCCTCGCAGTTATTCTGCCGTGCTATGGAAAAACGCCGTATGAACCTTCGGGCGTTGCCAAATTTCCTTTTATGAAACACGAAGTTTCTGGTAAACTTATGGATATTTTCCTCCCAATTTTTCAGATAATTTTGTTCGCAATGTCACCAAATGATTCTGAAAATTTAAAGAAAAAATATTCACAACTTTCCTCGAAAATAAACATTTTATCGAAGGAAATATGGCAACTCTCGAATGCCCATACGGCGTTTTTCCTCAGCACGGCAGTATTGCAGGTGAGGTCGGAGTAAAAGTCGGCTAATAATAGGTGCCTAAACGAATGAAGCGCCGAAGAATAAGTGCCGAAGTGGCGCCCACCTCGGAGTAAAGTTCAATCGACGCCGGGTCGTAAAACTCGACGTCCATCGTTCAACAATCCATCGACCAACGCTTCGATCTTCGCAACCATTGATGAATCCCTGCCCCGCGGTGTTGTCTATCCATCAAGGCCGTTCGATCCGGAGGTGCGACGATCGATTCAGGATGAATTTGATCCAGTTCAAAAGAGGCTGCGCCTGCGGCGTGGACAAATCTGGTCGTCGTTTTATGCGTTGACCATTTTGGGTGCGGGCTTCGGAGGGCGGGGATGAGCTCCGAAAACTTATTGCGTGAGGAGAAAGTGAAGCAGAGCCTAGATTGTTGAATTATTTTTGAGTGGGTCAGAATTATCAAGGTGTTCATTGCGAACACCTTTATTTTTCGATCCTTTTCCATAGGTTTATAAATGACAGATCAATTGATATCTTGCAAAGCACGCCACGCCACTGATCGAGGCTAAAAATTGTTGTGTGTCATATGAACCAAAGTGTTTTCTTCGTGTGGGTCGAAAAACAAACAATCTCGGAGGAGATTAAAGGGGAAATATTCCAAAAATTCCGGTAATCAGAAATTGATTCACATTGTCTTGACTCTCATAAAGGGACTCTAAACTGGTCTTGCCTGCGATAAACTCCGGGCAACATCGTCTCAGTGGCGGAATTCCTAGTGACCTATCAAAATTTCGCCAGCGAGCCTGTCGCAGGAGTAAGCAGGATCTTNGGGGGGGGGGGGGGGGGGGGTGTCTAGATCAATCATAGACAGGTGCTCATCAACGGCGTGCATTGTTCTCGCCAGATGAAAGTTCTCGAGCTCCCGGCCGCTACGGCTTTGAGCTCCACTGTCAAGGTGAGAGAAATGTCATGTGACCGCCATTCGCTTTTGAGTGGCGGGCGTCGCGCCGTATGTCGCACCGAGGCGAGGACCGCTCCATAGCCGTCCTAAGGAAAAACGCCGTATGCAGATTCGGCCGTCGCCTGATTTTTCTCGATGAAATATACAGGGTGTCCTAGGTTTAAGTGCGGATACTGAAGTCGATTCTTTGGGTAAAAAAAAAGAAGAAGTTTGCGTGGTATAACTTTTTCCCCCAAAAACGCCTTCTCTGGGGGCCATGCCCCCCCCCCCAATGTTGGAGGAAAAAATGGCGCAATGGTGCTCTGGTGCAATCCATGGTCCAGGTATTGATAACGGAGAGTAAACAAACGCATGGAATCTCTCAATTTTTTACGCCACCCGACAACAGCGTTTCAGTCGTATCCAAGGCGGCAATGGCAACCCATTATCGTTGGTAATGTTGGTCTTTGAGGCATGTGAATTAAACAGATCAATCCTGGTATGTCTCCACGTGACGGGCTTTGAACAATGGAATAGTTCTGTACCGAAACGGGAGAAGAAAGTTCTACTTTTGCATACGGCTAAACTGGGCTAGTGAACCAAAATTAAGGTCAGTCTATTGTCACCCGAGGGTGTATTAAAGTGTCTTCGTGTGATTTCGTGAAAAGTTTTAAGAGAGCTCAAAATTTACACTGCCTTTTAAAGCAGGACTAATTTTGACTATTTTTATTATAACTGCATGATCAGAAGCGATTCTTGAAAGTTGGAAACGCTGTTTTTCCTCAATTTAAATCCATTGAAAATATCGATTTTATATTAAGTAAGCTGCTCCGCCAAGAATTGATTGTTTTAAATGCATTAAATGAAGGAAAAATAGTGTTGTTAGTTTAAAAAATAGTTCGGGAAGGGGTTGGTCAAAGATTACAATAAACGTCCGATTTGCGTAATCTTTACTCACGTTTGTGACATCCATGAGCCGCGTTGTCTTAACTCTCTCTGTAAAGAGACTCTGTGCCATGCCGTGCTAAGGTAGAACGCCGTATAAGCCTTCAGACGTTGCCAAATTTCCTTTTATAAAAACTGAATATACTGGAAAATTTTTAAATATTTTCCCCCGAAATTTTCAGACAATTTTGTACGCAATTTAATCTAAAATATCTGAAAATTTCAAAGGAAAATATGCTTGAATTGCGTCAAAAATACATGTTTTATTAGGGAAAATTTGGCAATTCCCAAAAGTTCATACGGCGTTCTTCCTTAGCACGGCAGGACGAATCGCAACGTTGGTACGTGATTTTGGTTCCGCCTCGCGAAGTGATGCTAAAAAAAATTCGATCCATCGAAAACCAACGGATCTGATTGGTCGAATGTGGAAGCAAGTGTGACCACTAGTGGTGGTGATTTATGAGACAAATTGGGGCAGAACCATAGAGTACATAGGGTCGTAATGTAAGTGAGTGCGCTGGCGCCACTTTTAAGCATTTTCCAGCTCCCGAATTCCGAGACTCCTGTGTGACGCCGGGTCACTTTTTCGATACATAATCGATTGTTTGCGATACACGGGTACCCGGCCATCCAATCTAAAGAAAGAAGATAGGAATCACCACGAATTCCACACCGCCATTTTGGATCGATCCTGTATCGAAAAAGTGACCCGAACTCGGCGCACACCGGGCTCGGAACTCGTCGAGCAGAACATGGCGCCAGCTCTCCCATTTACATTACGACTCTATGTACTCTATGGGCAGAACTTCCCAAAGAGGTCCGGAACTTTAAATAAAATTCGTTTTGAAAAAATGAAGTCTACATTGCATATAATTTCCCTTCTAAAAACGGAATATCCAAAGGCTAACTTAGTGATTATTTTTTCGACAGGTGAATTTCGGGGACGTGAAAATCCCGAAGAACTTCGAGTACCCGAAGCCTCAGAAGATCGGGCAGCTGAATGGAATTCACGGGGTGTCGTCCGACAATGTCATCATTGTCGACGCTCAAACTCTGCTCATCCAGTCGTTCTCCTATGACGGAGAGGCCCCAGGTAAGCCGTTCATTTAAATCTAAATATTAATTCTGGTTCCAACTTTCTGATTCTGACAGGTTCCTTCTGGGAGGAGACGAAGGGGACGCCTAGTAAGAGAGTGGCAAAACGGAGTTTTAGAGGAAATGAGGGAATGTCAACTCCCTAGGGGTCTTTGGGAGAAGAGGGAATTTTGGCGGCTGGGTGTCGCAGAGCGCCAAAAAGCGCTATGAAAGCGGCTTTATCCTTTAGGGATTTATGTAATTCTGATATTCGTTTTCGGGCTGAAAACAGACGTTAAAGACACCATTATAGATTGAGGTGAAGTGTGCTGTCACGCATCGCACACGACCCAAGTCTATCTTCTGCTCCTACTGCAAGACCCAAGCCCATCTTCAACTCCCTTTGAAAAACGCTTTACAGTGTTGCCTCCCTTCCCATAAGTAAACATGGCAGCGGCACTTTTCTAGTGATTTTTGTTTTTCACGTTGTCACCCTTTTGGGCCATAAGAGCTACCTAAATCGAGTTGTTCATACCCTCCCTATAAAAGTACTCCAACCATCATGTTGTCATGCTTCACTCACCAAAACGGTTGATTTTAGCAAGGTTAGTGTAGTTAGTCCTCAAACAACCTGGTTCTTTCCTGCTAAATTCGATCCGTTTAAGAAAGCTCTGAAGCAGCGGAAGCGTCTTCACAGTTGCGCGATCTGTGAGATAATCCCCCGATTACGCGAAGAAGTGCATACAAGTTGCAGGATGCAGAGGCGACTGCAAACCCGGCAGCTGCAACGGAGAGTGAAACGGGCGAGGCGGACGGAGCGTTTTCGAAGAACATAATCGGGGATTTTCACAAACCGAGACTGAGAGTGAAAGCTGCGTAATCTTGCTTCAATTTTGCGTAATGTTTGGTCCTCGTCCAGAGGTGATGAGTTTCGACTTTAATTGGAGACCGAGCCCTTGACACTCTCGGTTGATAACCGCATGCGCGGACAGACGTTCGTCAATACTGCCGTGTTAGCAGAGTGAGCAGTAAGCAGTGTTCGAAACTCACCTTTGAGTTTTAGGGGCCATGTGCCGCATCAAGCCCAATGGACCACTAGACAGGGTACGAATTTTAGCATTCTAATACATGTTTCTAAACGAAAATTTCACGTAGAGCACGATTCGTGCGACGAATTTTAATGAAACAAACTCCTAAGGAAGATATTAACGTTTTTATTTCACATCAATTACGAGGAATTTGAACTGGCCGCTCACAAGAAACTAAAAGCTCTACGTGAGTCAAATCGCGCACTACAATGGTTTCAGCAAGCTTCTCAATCGAGCAATGTTCATTTCCCACCATGTGTTGTTCGAACTATTAGCAATTTGCTATAGCTGAGCCAAAGCGTCAAGACTGAGGTTGCCAGATTTTTATATCGCTGAGACGTTTATGATAACGTTTAGCGCGCGATGTGAATCACGCAGAGCATCGAGTTTTCATTAGCGGGTCGTTTGAATTCACGCATCAAGAATCATTAAATATCTTCGTAAGGAGTTAATTTCGGTAATTTATGTTGTGCGTATCGTGTTCTGCGTGAAATTTTGGTAAGGTAACACGTATCAGAATGCTGAAATTCGTACCTTGTCTAGCGGTCCATTTTTAGGCGCTATTGAAGATTTTTTAGGGGCCAAATTGACTTTTTGCCTATATATTATGGCGCATTTAGTGATAGTGAAAAGTTAGACGCAAGATGTTTGCGTAACAGAACTAGTAAGTAGGGGAAGATAAAAGCACTAAGAATGAAATCGTGAAGAATAGAAAAAGCAAGCTTTCACTTTGTGGTGCTGAAAATTCTGAGTTTTTTCAATTCAAATAGATTCGTTTTTCTTTCTTTATGTGACTTCCTATGAAAATCTAGATTTTTAGGAGGCAGTTTTTAGGGGCCACGTTGGCGCAGAGACTTCATTTTTTAGGCGCCATGGCCGATTTTGTGGGCGCGTTTGGCGCGTTGGCGCCTGTGAGTTTCGAACATTGGCAGTAAGTGCATTCCTGTATGAGCCACGGTTAGCACACGCTTTTATGGGTCTCGAGGTTCATAGGCGGATCCAGCAAATTGGCAACGTTGTTTTTCTCCATTTAAACCTACGGAAATGTATCGGTTCTTGGAGGGGCCAGGTGCTCCTACAAGAATCGATTATTTAACATATGTTTAAATGGAGGGAATCCGGTGTTGCCAAACTGCTGGTTCCGCCACTGATGCATTTACTGCTCTCTACGCTGTCACGGCAGAATAGATTGTATTCGATACATCAAACAGGTGAGAGTGTATCGATATCGATTGGTTCAAAACATTAAAATAGCCTCAAAAATCAATAGTGTAATCTGACGGAACGAGTTTTTCGTGGAAGATTTTTGATTCGTATAAGTACGAATTGGCCGAGAGTAGTGAAATTGCTCCAAAATTTCTCATTTTCAGCTTTTCTGACTAATGTCCTAAAATTTTGGTTTAAGGTTTTGTTCTATTGTTTTGAACCAAACGATTCATCGAACCACTATCGAATACGATCCATACTGCTTCGATCCGGTAATCCAGGATTGCGCGAAAGGTTGAAGAAAAGATGTGAGGATTGCGCGAATAAAAACCCTTACATCTGCTGCAGGAATACTCAAATTTAAGAAGAAGTTAATTTAAGGTAGAAGTTTGGCAAAACAGGAAACAGTTGGAAAATAAATGCATTTTTATGTTAATGCTAGTTTAGGTTAGTGTGTTGACAAGCCATCACAGTATGTTGTCAGTCAGTCTGTGATGATAAATGGAAGTGAAAAGATTGAACAATGGTCGTGGGTTTAAAGTACTTTCCTAACTTTTCTCGGAGAAAACATGTAAACGGGAGAAACGAGGCAACGTTGGAATGTTCGTGCGATGTCGAAACACAACATAGGCCTTTCTGTTATTCGGTGCCACGAATATTCTAACGCGAGTTCGAATAATCGCGCCAAACACAGTGCGGCCGGCGTTGAACGTATATTAGCGCCTGCAAGACTTCAGGGATACTTCACGTATTGCACCAAACAGTGCGCTCAGCGTTGGCGCCTACAAGACTGCATGAATACTTCTCGCATTGCGCCAAACGCAGCGCAGCCGGTCAGTTGGCGACAGCTGCATGCGCAATCTTCTGCATGCTTGCTCAGTCACACTTTCAACGAATTTTAAGATTAAACATTGACAGAAAAATGTACCATTTTGCACAGGATACCGATAAAATATGCCACTCTACTGCTGGACATTTGGACTAACTGCAGTTTTGCAAGAGAGTGACGTCAAAGTTAGCGCTCTTGCTGATCTCCGATAAACTCGTATTTTTCTTTTTCTTGGATGATTGCAATTGCTTCGAAGCTTTCATTTTTTCCATGGGTTTTCTCTGTAAAACTTGTATTTGTTACCGAAAACTCCAGTTGTTAGAACCGACGTTCGGTTCCCTCTGCCAAAAATCTTGTATTTGTTACCGAAAAGTCCCGTTGTTAGAACCGAAGTTCGGTTCCCTCTGCCAAAAACCTTGATGCTTCATGATATGAACCACCGATGAAGGTTTTTTCTTATTCTCCATACAAAGCACCCGTTTTATGGTCAGAATACAGGTCAGACTGAAAAGTTATTTTTTATTTTCTCCCTACCGTTAAATGCCTCTCAGCGTTATTTTCAAACGCATACAGAGTGCAGGACTCAATCATGACGGCTTATTTTCGTAACGTGTGTGTACAGACCTGCTAAGGAGGAACGCCGTATAGGTATTCAGACGTTGCCAAAATGCCTCCGATTTAATATTCACTAACGAAAAGCCCGCGACTGAAGTCACGGGTTTAGATGTTCCGCAATCAATTGTGATTTTAAAAATTGATCATATCAACAATTGAGAAATTTAATCGGGGGAAACATATAGTGATACTGTTTTGATAGACATAATTTGATTGAAGAATAAAAACGGAACGATTTTTGTTTTATTATTATTCGTTCATTGAATCCGTGCCGATCGATTCGATTTCGATCGGTTGAAGTTTTTTCTGTTTCGATCTCGTAATCTTCTTCTTCATCTTTCCATCTTCTTCGTTTTCTTCCTCTCATATCTTTTTTACTCCTTACTCTTTCTCTTTTATCTTTTTATTCATATTTTCTTCTTTTCCCTCCTCTTTTCTTTTTCCCTTTTATTCTTCTTCTTCCTTTCTCTTGTCATCATCTTGTTTCTCCTTTCGCATTTTCCTTGAAAAATCCTGAATATTTTCCCTTGACATTTGCAGACACTGTGGATGAATGAAACAGCTAACAGAACTCTCTGATAAATTCAAAGGAAAACAAACATGTGCATTCGATATATCGATTGGTTAATGTTTTTCTGTTTCGATCTCATATTTTCTTCTTCTTCCTGTTTCAGCTTTTCTTCGTCTTTTTCCTCTCATGTCCTCCTCTTTCCCTTTTTTCTTTTTATTCGTCTTTTTTTCATCATATTCCTTTTTCCCTTTACTTCTTCCTCTTCTTCCTTTTGTCATCTTGTTTCTTCTTCCATATTTTTCTTCAAATATCGTGAATATTTTTCCTTAACATTTGCAGATACTGTAGATCATATTGCTAACAAAATTCTCGGAAAAAGGAGAATTTGCACACACAAACGTATTGCTTCATCTGAGAGTGCCTAATGAGCTGAGTTCGCAGTATTTTTCACAATTTTTTTCTGACATGGGAAATTGGAGAAAAATAGATTTAAAAGTGAGAAAATGTGCCGCCTTATGACTCCAGCGGCATTTTACATTTGAACACATGAATTTTAGCAAATTAGGTTATTTTGTCATATGTTCTCTAATAATTGTCCAATTTTGAAACCAAGGATATCCTCGTACTCAGTTTTCCTAGTGGTCTCAATTTAAAGATTAAATTCACAAAATTTAAGACACCTGCAAATTCTCTAATGCAAAGAAAAACGTTTGTAAGTTTTCCGGGAAATTCATATTTTATTATTTGAAATTTGGCAACGTCTACAGGCA